AGCTGTTTCTCTTCATTTTGAGTTGTGGCCCATCAGCAAATGAAGCTTCTGTGCACTTTTCTCCCCCGAGCTTAACTCTTCATGTCATCATGGTCAACTCTACTTTGAGGAGGCATTTTTTTCCCCCAGTCACATTCTGAGTGCCTTCCAACCTGAGGATCTCATTTTCCGGCCCTGTATCTGACAGTGTTTCACTGCTATTCATAGGGTTTTCAGTGACTAGAGATTTGGAAGCAGTTCGTCACTCTTTCTTCCTAGTCTGTCTTTGTCTGGAAGCTCATCTGAAACCTGTTCACCATAGGTGACCCTGCTGGTTATTTAAAATACCGGTGGCATAGCCCTCAGAATCACAGCAACTCAAGCCACCACAGCACGACAGACAGACGAGTGGTGTCTGTTTGGTTTTATGTCGAAACTGTCACTTTAAATTTCGATGTCAATCCTGATACAATCAAGATGTTCTCTCTTGATACTATCAATCCTGATACAATCAAGATGTTCTCTCCCAAGATGGCAGCTCCTGGAACAGCTGAGTGTCTTGATCCAGAATACAATGGATTTCTGGATTCCCTTCAAATTCCCCAGCTGTAAACCCTCCTATCCTCCAAACATACCTTTATATTTGTTTCAGAGTTCCAACACTATCTTGTGAGTCCTCTTGGCCCCGTGTTCCATGTTGTTGTTGACCCAGCTCCTCACTACACGTCTACCCGATCCGCCATCTTGAAACCCTATACAGGGTCACTATGTGTTGGAAGTGACTCAATGGCACTTGCAACAACAATGGAGTATCTGAGGAGCGGTTGAGGAGTTTGAACCATACACCTTATGGTTCGCAGTCCAGTGCTTCTGCTACAGTGTCAACACCAGGACTCTGTTTTGCCTGTGGTGTTGTTATTAAGTTCCATCGAGTTGATTCCAACTCATAGAAACCCTGTATAGGGTTTCCAAGGAGCAGCTGGTGGGTTTGAGCTACCAAACTTGTTGTTCAAAGTCCAGAGCTGATCCTACAGTGCCACACCAGAAGTCCCCATTTTGCTCATAGAAACCTTCAATATTGCAACCCCAGGCTTGTGTTTTTTCTTCAGTTCTTTCAATTTGAGACATACTGAGTGGTGTCTTCCCTTTTGTTTTTCTAACTGCAGATCTTTGCACATTTCATTATAATACTTGACTTTGTCTTCTCAAGCTGCCCTTTGAAATTTTGTTCCGCTCTTTTAAACATCATTTCTTCCATTTGCTTTAGCATCTCTATGCTCAAGAACAAATTTCAGAATGTCTTCTAACATCCATTTTGGTTTTTCTTTCTTTCCTGTCTTTTGAATGACCTTTTGCTTTCTTCATGTATGATGTTTTGATGTTACCCCACAATTCTTCTGGTCTTTGGTCATTTGTGTCTAATACATCAAATCTGTTCTTGAGATGGTCTCTAAATTCAAGTGGGACATTCATATTTTGACTCTTAATGATTTAATTTTCTTCAGGTTCAGTCTGAACTTGCAAATGAGCAATTGGTGGTTTGTTCCACAGTTGGCTCCTGATTTTGATATTGAGCTTCTCCGCCGTCTCTTCCCACAGATGTAGTCAATTAGATTCCTGTGTGTTCTGTGTAGTGAGATCCACTTGTATAGTTGCTGTTTATGTTGTTGAAAAAGGTATTTGCAATGAATAAGTCATTGGTTTTGCAAAATTCAATCATGCCATCTCCGGCATCATTTCTGTTACCAAGGCCATATTTTCCAACTACATATCCAAGGAGCTCTGGTAGCATAGTGGTTACGAATCAGGCTGTGAACCTTATGGTCAGCAGTTTGAAACTACCAGCTGTTCCACAGGAGAAAGATGAGGCTTTCTGCTCCCTTAAAGATTTATAGCCTCGGAAACCCTGTACAGGGTCGCTATGGGTCGGAACCTACTCGACGGCACTTAACAACAACAACATCCTTCTTAGTTTTCAACTTTTGCATTTCAACAACCAGTAATTATCAATGCATCTTGCTTGCATGTTCAATTAATTTCAGACTGAAGAATTTGGCAGAATTCTTCAATTTCATTATCACTGGCTTTAATGGTTGCCATATAAATTTGAATAAAGTGGTATTAGCTGGTTGTCCTTGTAGGTATATGGATATTATCCTATCACAGACAGTATGGTGCTTCAAGAAAGATCTTGAAATGTTCTTTTTGACTATGAATGCAATGCCATTTTTCTTCTATTTGTTGTTCCTGGCATAGTAAACCATATGATTGTCAGATTCAAAATGCCAATATCCATCCATTTCAGCTCACTAAGTAATACCTAGGATATCAATCACTAGCATTCCAATTCATTTTTTATGACTTCCAATTTTCCTAGAATCATACTTCATGTTAGAAATGAATCCCAATGTTGCATAAAAGACACTCGGTGAGACTAAATTACCTTGGCAAAGCAAAATTTAGTCCTGCAAGAGGGTGCATGTGCATAGCCGTACATATAGGAACAGACCAGTGAGCACACTGAGTGGGCAGTCCACTTGGGTTTTTAATCCCTGATGCAAGTCTCAAGGCTGTGTCTCACCCCACTGGCTAGGATTTTGACCGCACAATCTTTTCCCTTACCCGGTTGGCTAGTTCAAATTTTTAAGGCGCACATTCCTACTTTAGGAAAAGAAAAAGAGAGCGATCGTAAATTCTTTACTCACTTCAGGAAGTAAGCAAAGAAAAAGAGAGAGATCATAAAGTCTTCGCTTCAGGAAATAAATACAATTTAATAAATTTAATACAATAAACAGGATTATAATATATATATAATTTCCTGCCCCCCCATTCATACATTCCAAGGTTCCAATTATCAATGGATGTTTGCAACTGTTTCTTCTCATTTTTAGTTGTACCCCACCAGCAATGAAGATCCAGAACGCTTTGCCCCATTCACATCATTAAGGTGAATGAGGAGGCAGCTCTTCCCTGGTTGTATTTTGAGTGTCTTCCAACCTTTGGGGCTCCTCTTCCAGCACTGTATCAGACAATGTTTCCCTGCTGTTCAGAAGATTTTCAGTAGCTAAAATGCGCCAGACTACAAAGCCGTTTGAACTGCAAAGTAGGTGGTTCATGCTCACAGGCTGCTCCTCGGAAACCATATACAGGGTCACTATGGGTCAGAACCGACTCGATGGCACTTAACAACAACAACAACAACAAACATTCAGAAGTGGTTTGCCTCTTCTTCTTAGTTTGTCTATGTTTGGAAGCTCTTCTTAAACCTGTTCACCATGGGTGACTCTGCTAGTAGGAGAGCTTCTAGCATCACACAACAATACACAAACCACCACAGTAGGGAAAACTGACAGAAGAGTTGTGGCCCCCTACTTAAAAAATACAAAATATGCATATGCACCAAAGAATATGAGAAGGGCGTGAGAATAGTTCTTTACAAGAAAATCAGAAATGAAAAGAAAGAGTAATGAGTAATGGAGGATATAAGGATTAAAAAAAAAAAAAAAAGAAGCTATCAGAAAACTATTAAGTAAAGTGACAGAATAAATCTTACCATAAATCAACTTAAATGTAAATAGATTAGCCTGGCAGGTGCAAGGCCCCGCCGCCTCTCCAACTCGCTGCCCCCGCCCCCACCGGACGTCCTCCCAGTACCGCCGGCTGCTCAGTGACAAGGGGCCACCTTCACTCGGGTACACCCAGGGAACTAGTAACAGCCAGGCGCTCCAGGGCAAAGACTCGGAGCCGCTGGCTATCGAGGAAGAGCTGGGGAGAGATCAGACCACATTCTCCTGGAGCAAGAGCGCCGTGGAGCGGCTGAACAGAGGCATCATTCACGCCAGAGAACTGGTCCAGGAGTGCTTAACTGAGATGGAAGGGAATGCCTGATCCTAGCCGCCCTGTTCGCTTTGAGGGTTTTCCACCTTTTTTACCCCAAGATGCACTGTTACAGCGCATCATCCTTTTGCTTTATTTTCCAAGTGGTAACTTTTTTTTTTTGCTGATACCACATTCTTTGTTTTAAAAATTGTTTAAGGTTTTTATTGTGGATTAAGTGAAAGTTTACAGGGCAGATCATCAGTTTTATATTCAACAAATCGTATACCTTGTTCCATTACAATGATTATAACCCCCTCCATGTACCATCAGATAACAGTATTTCTCTCTATTCACTTTAGCTTTATAAATAAATAAATAAATAAATAAATGAATGAATGAATGAATGAATGAATAATAACACAAAAAAACCCACTCAGGCATATATAATAATTTATACCTCCAAAGGGCACATTCTGCAAATCTGCCTCTAGACCACTAGCTCTTAGTCTCTCTCTTCCCATGAATCTAGAGTCCTCAGCTGCTCCCCATCTCCATGACCCAGTCTCTGCCTCTGTCTCTGGTGTCTCTGGCATCCCTGATTCTCTGGATAAGGTCCTGCATTCTACTTGTGCTCTTCTCCCTTGATGGTCCTAGGGTCCTCTGATTTGGGACTGTAAGATTAACCTCTCCCCTGTTTTTGTTACAAAACTTCTACCTTTATAATTGTGACAGTCACAATTAATCATGATAACAATTATTCGCTATTGAATCATACGAATCTTATCCCCATCTCTTTTCAAAAGACCCATCTAGACAAGATGAAAACTATTCAGTGGGGACTCTACCTTCCCCTGCATACTTTTAAACTAAACTCCCTCTTGAAACCTTGTAAGACAGTCACTTAATACCTTTATTACCCCCTCATTTTAGGTAGCCAATGTCTAAGTTGCCCATCCCTATCTATCTTGTATACAGAGGGGATAGCATTGATACTTGATGTGAAGACTCCTTCCCTCTCTGTTGATATTTAGAGTTACTACCTCCATGAGTATAAGGAGCTTTGGTAGCGTAGCGGTTACTAATCAGGCTGCGAACTGCAAGGTCAGCAGTTTGAAACTACCAGCTGCTCTGCACCAGAAAGATGAGGCTTTCTGCTCCCATAAAGATTTACAGCTTCGGAAACCTTGTTCAGGGTTGCTAGGGGTTGGAACAGACTCCATGGCACATAGCCACCACCACCACCTCCATAAGTATAGGTCAGGTTCATCAAATTGTAGGAATTTATCCTTGTTTCCTTTATCAAAAATATTTATTTATTTATTTTTGTATTCTTCCTCTAGTCAAGTTCTGATTATCAAGCCTTCGAGGTTAGGTCTAATGGGTACTGTCTGCAAGTTTGGGTGTTCTTGTGCATCTTCCCTCACTTCATATCAGTTGATGCTTCATTCTCAGCTCTAGCCCTCTGTGGCTATGTCCTTGTCCATGGGCTCAGGTGTCCCCAGGTCTCACCACACTTTGGACCAACCAGCCCT